ACTTTCTCGTACTCCTTGTCTTAACAACAATAAACATGTCTGTTAAGGCTATTAAACACTGGTGGAGTCAAATAAGAATAAATGGCGGCATCGGACAAGGTGTCAGATTTACGCAATACAATGTTGGCACACCGACCGAATGGTTCACTAGGGTTTGACTTAGTGCAGCATTTTGTAAAGCGTTCATTCATCATTTTAGGCTTAAAAATTATCTTACCACAGGAACTGTTCGAAATGTCGTTGCTTGCAGATGGCTTGGGCGACCACTGAACACTTCGGTTGCTACGTAGAGTCATGCGGTTTTTACTGGAATGTGATATGCCACTACTATCCTGGGTATGGTTATATCACCTTTTTTCAGTTGCAATCTCATAATCGTCTAGCTAAAAATTTGACTCTTCGCGGGTGACTCTTCTCTAAAATTTTGTGCCCGTCTGCATCCTGGGCTTCTTGGATCCAAATGCTTTGATCTCCTTTGCTTGTACATCAGATGTTCTGACTGAGCCATTGCAGCGGAAACAAGCTAAACGAGCAGATCTACATGAAGGGCGAACCCTGCAGCGAATGCCCTATCGGTACATTCTGTAATGAAGACAAACTATGTGAAATGACTGATGAAATTGCATAATTTTTTGTGATCCAATATTTTTCCAATATTCATTGTAATGTGGTACGAATGAATGGTTTTGAACATTAACTGCTCTGTTGTTTTGACTGGTAGATGTATCCGATAAATTCTCTCTCTTCCACACTATTATAACCAGGTTGATCGCCCCGCAACCGCCGCGCACTCTTCCCTACGTAATCTTTATGCCCCTGTGCTCACTTCCACCTGTGGCATCAGCGTCTCTTGAAAAAGAGGTGGTGTACAGAAAGCTTCATATGATAGAGGGCATCATCACAATCATGACACGATGTTAGAATGACAGGTACTTTGCGTAGGTCTGTTGTGAGTGGTTTTCCTCCATCTCTTACCCTACCATCCTCCCTGCGGTCCACTCGACCTGCCAGTGCAGCACCATATGGAATCGTTGTGCCGATTAGGTGTCTATGGTGTGTTACGACAACTACGCCATGACAAAACATTCATAGCCCTGGTAATACGAGCCGTTTTGGGAGCGGTTCATTTACTCCATGAGCTTCCTTATCATTTCAGTTTGCAGACGGACAGACGAATATACAGGGTGGTCCAAAATTATGAGGACCGCGTGCGCGCGCGGTCATATCCACTTTTTTCCGAGTCGCTCCATTTTCATCTCCTTTTCTGTGCACTATGTGAAGGGTACAATGTCTTCTTCCTAATGAAACCAAATTTCATGCAGTTCTCAAAACTAGTGAAATAACAACATCTCTTACGTCAGTCCTCAAATTGAACTCACTAGGGCTCTGGCACGTTACATCTAGCGGCAGTCTAACGTATCAGGGAAGCTCTTATGAGCAACAGTTCAACTCTTCAATAAGTTTGGAACCACCACAGATGGAAAATTCGGAGACTCGAAAGTTACAGTTACCACCAGGATAATTATCAGATGCAGAAACTAGGTCTCCCCTTGTCGACTTTCGTACTCCCAAAATGAAAAAATTGATGTGAAAACCCAGCCAGACACTCTAAAGACTCCACATCTGTAGTGGATAGAAAGCCACTCGAGTAGTCTACTTGGGACTTTTACAGGACCGAGCACCCAAGAATAAAGCAAAAATTCTCTAAAAAGCGATTTTTCGAGTTCGTTGCTTTCGAAGAATTGTTACAATGGAACCTCCACCTAATAGCTCTAGATTTCTGTATTTTACACCCTGGATGCAAGCGCAAATAAATGCCCCACAAAACTTTGATCCCCTGAAGAAAGCAGAGCAGAAGGCCTGGAAACATTTTGACACGCCTCAGTTGCGTGCCACCGCACGCGCCATCCCCTTCATCTGAAGGCTCGTGTAAACGGGCAGGTGGCAGATCTCAATTCTATTCTGGAATTACTTTGAGATAAGAGTTACAAACACTTCCCTGAAGTTTGTTTGTTCCATCAAGCTACTATGCGTTTTTAACGACACAATGTCTTGGTCCTCATAATTTTGGACCACCCTGTACATTACATACATACAGACACACATAACAAGCGCCACACCAAGTTAGTTATATTATAGAAGGATAACCAATTTCACCCCCGTTGCGAGTAATGATATAAATGATCACGTCACAAACTGCATCATGAATTTACATGCATTCACACTAATCATACTCCATGCCAATGCAGCTACACTCCGAACACGTCAGTCACCTGCTGGGATGTCAGAGTTATTAGTGCCATCGGTGGTCTAACAAATACACTCAGCCAGATTACTCTGAGATACATCGAGTGGGCCGAAGATTAACTTTTTTCTTTTCGACACCTTCTGCATAGAGTAGATGTGAAAACGAGGCAGGTAAACACATTCTCAACCATTTTCTTTCAAGTCTGCAGCGCAGCGTATGAAAAAAAGTCTAGTTATCAAGAAGTATATTTTCTAAGTTCCACGGGTGAGTATGGCGAACCGCTTCCTCGCAAAGGTACTCGCTGCCTTTGCTGCTTACTCGATCATGAAACATTGTTTGCAGCTGGCAGTGACATCCAACAACTAGAAACAACGTTAATCGAGATGCTCTCACATTACATTACAAGTGAGATACCTGGAGAGATGATTGGAGGTCGACAACAGTAGAACGGGAGACGACTGTTCTGTGTGTAAGCGATCCGTGCTGCGAACCGTGCTACGTTGAAGTTGAACAGCTACGAAGAACTCGAGTATCGGTACAGACAACTGTCTATGGTGAACAGGTGCGTGTGGCTAGAGAGCTAGACAAACACTTCGAAGCAATTGTCTTCTGAAAAATGATCTTATTAGTCTTCCCTCATTCCAACGCACTGCAACAAGTCAGCAAGGATTCTCCTAGTGCGTTTCTAGACGGTGAAGAGCTCTTGCGAAACATTAGTGCAGCTGTCTGACAGAATGCTTCTTAAACGAAAGAGATTGTCTTGTTTTTATTGGATAACTGCTGTTTTACGCCACAGTTCGCGTTGCGGAAGTTATCACAAGAATGCTGAGTTGTGGGCAAAACTCCCATTTCGCCCCAGCCGGGATTCGTACCCGGATCTCTTCCGGGCGGAATTGAATCAAGCATAAGTGATATAAAAGGCCAGGCGGAGCAAGAGATTCGGGTACGAATCCCGGCTGGGGCGAAAGTTTTGCCCACAACTCAGCATTCTTGTGAAAGAGATTGTGTTTTCCACTATCCAAGGCGACATAAAGATTCGGAACTGCGGAGGCTTGGTCAGTGCGCAGTTGGCTCCATCCATCTACAGATATGACCACTAAAGTACCTGTTTGACCCTGTAAAGAAGGTGGTTGATAAAGTGGTCGGCGGAGAGGTAGGGCTGTTCAGAGGTGCCGCAGTGGAAAAAAACTAAGGAAAAGGATCTGAAATTCGGAAAAAAGAACGGATTCCTTGCTTTCCTCGTTGGTTTTCAATTCAGGCATCATCAAACCTCGTGGAAAGTTTCACAGTGCTTAAGTCAGAATAGCCCAGAGGGCGTCGGCGAGGGACAAGCAGCCGTGGTCGTCAACCAGAAGGTAGGCAGGCGTTGAAGACGTCGAGAGGGACGTGTGAGATATTGAAGCCTCGCTGTGGACGCTCCCTTTGCTGTGAATCCGCCAGCTGCCAGGCCCTCAGGACCGGCAACCTCAGAGTAGGTAGGACCCAATCCCCTTCTGCAACACCAATTTGCCATCGAGTCTACATCAATTTGCTTGATAATTCGTCTCAATTACTAGGGTGCCTCAAAGGAAAGTTCAAATGAAAATCGGTTAGTTCGTTCGACACAACATTACAAGCACAAGTGTAATATTGTTGACCAGGACGGTGACTCTTCTGGGCCATGGCGCTTCCTTATCGTTTGGGCAGAGCAGTTATGCCGTCATTCTGAAAGAAAGACGCGGCGCCATAAATACATCGACGGTATACTTGACATCCTGCCCGCTGTTGAATTTTCCTCCATTAACGTAATCCTGTTGCCTTCGAATGCGTGAGTTACAAAGGCTTTGCTTAACTGAATGTGCTGGATAATCATCGTGGTTATGGGTGGCCTCTTCAGCTCTCCCACCGTCGTCCTCGCTGGGCGTAGTCGGACGGTCTTATCTTTATTATTTTTATTTAGTACGTTGTATAAGACAACGTTGAAAATATAGCGAACAACAACAAAACAAAAACCTGAGAGAACATAACTGACAATGAGAATAGAATGAATGACAGTGACAACTATGCTTGAAGAAATGAGTTGCTATAGAGCGCTTGAAGGATGCAAAAGCCGTCAAAGGAGGAAGCTTTGCTGACTCGCAAAAATGCAAGACCGGCTCTAACTGTAAAGAAATTCCGCCACATAGTGGTCTTCGGCCTAGAGATAGCTTGTGATGTCATCACCCCACTTCCGAGTAAGTTCGAACTCACTTCGACCATTCCGACGGGGAATCTTCGGAGGGGTTCCAGAGGTGCTCTACGCATCTTTTAGGGAGACATGGATGGAAGCCATGACCAAGTTACCACGAGCTCATGGTCACATGGTAACTAGCAGTTGAGGCCACTTTATTACCGTCCCAGGTGCATTTTCTCGATCACTGGCAACTGACTAAAGTTTCTGACTAATACCTCTAGGCTACCGAAGAGGCAGGGACAGCCGAGTGGTTAGAGGTTAGACTCATGTCTGCACCTCTGAAAAACCGCGAGTTCGATCCCTGCCGAGGCTAAACCATGCCTTGCAAAAATGGTTCTAGTACCAGCGTCAGGCCCAGGTTGACAGGCCGGCTGATGAAGACCCCAGTCACACAAATATGTCTAAAGTCGAAAAAGAATCAGTGATAAAGCTAGGACGTCACCCGGAAGTGGCGCGCAGAACCCCCGCCCGAGTTCTGTGGTCAGTATGCGAGGGCTACCGAGGAGTGAACGGCCTCGGCCAAAGAAGCTAGTTCGAATTGGGACTCTGAACGTAGGATCGCTAACTGGGAAGTCCCGAGAGGTTGCTGATCTGATGACGCACAGGAATGTCAAAGTCCTCCGGTGGCTGATGGTGGTAGTGAATTGGTCAATATGCAGCGCCATTTATCTGTGCTCTCGTTTACTGCGCGCTCTCTCGCGCTTTCCCTCTTCTATGGACGCTCTATCTCTTCGTCGTATTACACCTGATCTTACATAGTCTTCAAATCCACAATTTTTGTGTCACCGGTGGTTTCTTTTGCTTTCTTTTTCACTTTCAGCTTGCTCAGCACTTCGCCTTCATCATTGAGCGTGCTTTCATCCCAATTTCATCCCGTTTTATCCCGGGCTTGCCTTTGAAAAGAGTAAATATATGTGCGCTGGCGCCTTGGAGGCTTTGCGTGGTCATGGATTATGACCTCATTCAAAAGTGTGCTTCAATTTGGATGGGTTGTGGTTGATATTCAACGTAGAAAAGATAGTGAAAAACTCACAAGTATGGCAGATGCTATGTACAATTTGCTAAATACTTTATCGAGAGGATTGCGGTGATGCAGAAGTGCGTTGATGTTGAGGATATACAGTAGGACCGATATACCGCCGTAGATCCCTTGTATTATGTATATGAT